GTGCACACACACACAGTCAGGGGCATAACTCGCTGCGACCCTTCATTTGGACTTTTGTGTGCCATTTCTTGTTGTTTTTTACCAACTTTCTAAGAAGTCAGTCTATTGTGTTGCATCATAACAACAGTTCAAGCTATTCTGAGTGAAATACAGAGGGTTATTTCAAGTTCGGTTTAAATATAATAAATTATATAAACCTTAATAACCTTTTAACAACCAGGTTTCCAGCAAACATTTCTATGCTGAATAACCGCGAGCACTCGCTGACCATTTCTCCTTCTTTGTGTCAAGAGAAAGTTTGTGTATAAGAGTTGTTTTATATTTGACCAAAATGAAATTTTAAAAGTTCTGCATCAAGAGAAGAGTGAAAAAACAACAACATATGGTTACTATGAACACAAAGACACTTTCTTACAGTTCAGATTTTTTAGCAGAAAGAGCAGCAGATACATTTAAACTGTTAGCAGTCGGACGTACCGCCCACGGGACATTGGATGGTTTAGGGGACTAATAGGACTGCTAAGGGGTTAAAGTCTTTTTATTTGTTTAACAAAACAAAATAGTCGATACTTGTCTGTGTGCATGAAAACGTCATTGCAAAAGTCTGATACATATTGATGCTTTGTTTCTAAGATACAGTCCAGATGCACTGTAACATGAAAGTCGTACATCGAAGCTGTATTGAAACTGTCCACTCAGCCACTGGACTGAGCCATTCTGTAGTGCTGTTAGAAATCTCACTCCACATATGAAGTGTCGTCACAAGTGATTGTGTACTCTAGATGACCACACCACACCATTGTGTGTCAATAAAGTGTATCCCCTCCACCCGCTGTGCTCATCTCAGCTGCAAAGTTAACACTGCTGTTATTTAACCAGTTGCTGTGCGTTTGTTATAATGTCAAATATTTCGATTTGACATGCTGTTGCCTCGGCTCACCACACCACCGGCTGCCACAGAGCACTACGGTGTCCAAAACAAACCAGCCCAACAGCTAAAGAGTAGTCTGCAGAAGCCGTCGTCTCTCTGCCCGAGCGGCAAGAATTCAGAGACTAAAATGTGTTCAAAAGAAAAGATTATGTGGAACTGATACATAATAGCACAGGGGGATGGATGAACGGACTTTGGGTATCACTGGGTCGTGTTTGTGAGGGACTGACTGAAACAGACAAAAGAGAGCTGGAAAGGTTGAGTAGTTATGCAGAAAGCTGCCCCTGCAGCATAAATCACTGCTCTGTGTGTTGATACTGATAAACATCCACGGACGTGTTACTCAGCCGCTGCTATAATTTAAATATGGCAATAACAACACATATTTTCAGATGACATCTCCTGGATGACTTTCACTGTGGTGCAGTTGGTTGCTCACAGAAAGCTGGCCCTTCAGCGTGCATTTCTGATGTAGTACACTGCCCAGCAGAGAGTTTATGACTGTATCGACATCACACTCTCTATGATGAATGGATTTCTTCTCTGTTGTGCTGCGAGTTACTTCAGCGGGCTGAGATTTCTGTGCCAGCAGAACCAGCTCCATCCCAGCTGCTTCGGTACAGCTGGATTTACAGCCCATGTGTCCTTGTCCTTGGACACCAGTCCTCAGTGCTGCTGACGAGGTGACACAGTCTGTTAACAGTTTACATCTGTGACTTCAGTAAGCAGAAACTAAACAGCAGTGTTTTTGAAAGTCTCCGAGCTCGGCTGTGAGTGCTGAGCTGTGTGTTGTCTCCAGCGAAGCAGCCTTAAATCCCTCAGTTGTTCCACTGAGGCTCGGCCTGCCAACAGTCAGTACAGACGACTATTTTGTCACAAAAAAGACCTTACTGACAAAATAAGTTCAGTCATGCCAAATTATGGCAGCTTAGAGGCAGGACCAAAGCCTTAATTGGCTGCTCATTCCCTGTCCTGGCCTTCTGAAGCCTCTGCTGTTTGCTTTAGACTCAACTCCCTCCATCTCTGTTGCTGTTCTGCTGGCAGGCTCACGGCTTTTAAGATCTCAGTGAGGCGTATTTTTGGATGGCTGAAGAACGCTTGAAGGAGCCTCTTATCCCTCTCAGCACTGATGGCTGTGAAGCGTGAGCATCGGCTGATTTGATAAGACATGGCAACCTCTCTGTGGCTCATCTCTGCATGTTGTACTCAGAGAAAACAAACCCAGACTCAACCAAAGACAATGTTTTTGTTTTCACCATCTGCCTTCACGGTCACATGAAGTATAAGCATCCAGTGTCTTTCACACAAGCGTTAGTGTGCCATCAAGCGACCCGTGTGAAATTAGACCATTTAAAACAATTTACATTAAGTCTAAATAGATGGCTGCATTACCTAGTGACAGGCAGACAGCTGATTTCAGACATATTGATTATTTAATTCTATTGTTTGATATGTTCTAAGGATTCCTGAAACAATGCATGAGGTTGTTCCTCTTAAAGGCAGACAAAGCCCAATTCATGGGTTGAAGGTGAAGGTGCAAACATTTGGCAACAGCGGAAAGCAAGAACTCCCTTTTAACAGGAAGTGGAAGAACCAGACTCGGGGAGAGGCTCCTCTGCCTCGACCAGTTGGGGCTAATGGGAGGAAGACAGGACAACAAAGAGACCGTGGAAGACAGCCAGAGACTAACAATAACTGATGATTGAATGCAGTGTGATGTGTGATCACATAGTGACTGAAAAAGCTGATTTAAGAAGAAAACCAGTAGCCCAGGCCTTTCACAGTATTACTACAGTTACCTGAGTATATCATCTGTAGATGATCAGATCAAAATTAAGAAATGAAGCATAACAGACACAGAAGTGGAAAAAAGAAATCAAACTAAAACTATTGAGGTAAGTTAAAAATGGATTACACACATTAGTTTCCTCAGCATCACAGACTTCTATACAACCAGAGGACGGACCTGTTCAAACAAATGCAACTGTGTTTTTCAAACCAGGAAATCCGGTCAGTCTTTCATACTGTCAGTGTTCAAAACATAAATACAGGTCAATAAAAACAACCGGGGGACACGTTTTCTCAGTAAACATTAAGTTTAAACGTTAGTTGCAACACCAATAAATCCCAATATTTGTATGCAGC